CCCCCCCCCCCCGCCCCGCCCGCCGCCGGCGCCCTTGCAGTCTGCGGTGGCTGCTGCCTCCTTCCCGCCCAGCCCAACCCTGCCCCTCCCATGCACATTTGGATGCGGTCCTGTGCTCCAGCTGCCAGCGGGGCTCCCGTTACGCACCGGACAGGCCGCTGCCAAGGGCCCCCTTCCACACTGCCAGACTGCTGCTCAGTCTGCCTGCACCCCCGTGCTGCCATCTCCACCGCCATCAGTCTCTGCCTCCCTCTGCCAGACTGCTGCTCCTTGTGATCTGGACCCACCTGGCAGGTACCCGAGCTGGCAGCAGACCTGGGCATTTGGTCACCCCACTGCAGGGGCCAGCTGGCCTCTCCTCTCCAGCGGGACCCTTCCCTCCCCACTCCCAGAGACCTCTTCTCTTCCTGCCAGATGGCTGCCAAGGCCACTCCCTGGTTTTCTCCTGTGGACCAGTTCGTTTTTCCCAGAATCCCGTCTTCCTCTGAATTCGCAGCTGTCTCTCTGATGTGTGCCTTTTGTTAACATAGTAACCCCTGCACTCTGCCCGCTTCTACTACCTGTACGAGTCCCTTTCTTATTTTCAATAAACATCAGACACTACTAAAAGGAAATTGAGTCTCAGTGAATATCACCTTTTCTGTTCTGGTCCCATAAATAGGGTCCATGTATTGGTCAGATGCTATAGGCCCTGCCATTCAGTGTCTGATGATCACGCTTGCATTTTATGAAACAAAAGACTGAAAGCTGCGTTGTTCTGGGGATGGAGACCTTACTGGCTACCAGCCCATCCTGGATGATGACTTTTCTAAACCATTTATTTCTGTTTCCCTTAGGAAATGGATCCTGATTGGATTTTGGCCTAGACAGCTTAAGGAGAAGTCAGACAGGGTGCCATTTGGAAAATATTTCCTCATTTCCAAAAACGCTGGAAGAACAGCTCCTAAGTGTTACAAACTGCAAATCTCACATATTTGTTGGTGAATGGCTGTGAAATTTCTATATAACCAATTATTCATGGAACCAGCAGAATGGCATTTCTGTTTGTTGCCTTATTGTGCATGAAGTGGAGAAAGGAATGCATATTGGGACAAACATGGTTGCTAACCTGCAGAAAAATAAAGGTATAATTTTTTTTTTGAGAGTTTTTTACTATAGGGCGCGTGCGCTCGCCAGACAGAGAGAGACAGAGAAACAGAAAGTGAGAAATCACCTCCCAGGGTGAATGGCCAGGCCGCAATCCCTTCTCCTCCATTCTCCTCTCGGGATCTTGGGCACGCACGCACACGCGCCCGGCATGAGTTTAAGTCACCTGGTCCAGGACTCGAACCACGGTGGACTACATGGGAGTCCAGTGACATAGCCATCATGCTAACTGCTGGTCCCGAATTTTTAATGTTCAGAAGAAGAACAAAATTGCTGACAATAAGGAAAACGAATATAAGAGAAGGAAGAAATGTCATAAATCTTTCTTTTTTGTTGTCATTTGGGGCCAGCAATGCCTTGGAGCCTATAATTAAGATAACATTACACAAATATTGTGATATTTGAATCTGGGTAAATTTAAGATGGGAACAAAGTGCATTTAGTTGGTTTAGTTTCCTGAGATCTTGGACAGAGGAATCCTGATAGAATATCCTGGTGAAAGATCTTGCTCCCCCATAATCCCAGTTGCCTAAAAGCATCCCTGTATACAGAGGCACCCCCTAATGCAGAAATACAGTAGGGAAGGAGACTTCAAAGGAACATTTTGAGAATGACCCTGATGTGCCTGTCCACTAGAAGCCTGAAGAGAGCTGAAGGACTAGGCTGAAAGTTTGAGTACCAGAAATCCTGTATGCAGGGATGCTCCTAGGGCTTCTTTTGGGGGTCTGATGACCTGCCTGCTTCTATAGGTATAGAGACACTACTTTCTCTTCTGTCACAGGGTTACTTTATTTTTATTTTATTTATTCATTTTAGTTTGACCAGAGAGGGACAGAGTGAGAGAATGATATGGAAAATGAGAAAGCAAGCTGCCAAGTATGGGATTTGAACCATAGTTGGTCGTATGCGAGTCCAGTGCCCTTAACCACCAAGCCAACTGCTGGCCCCAATCACAGGGTTACTGAGACTGCTTAGGCAGTGCAACAAGGATCAGTGGTCCTAAAATGAAAAGTAGTAAATCTACCAGGGTCAAGTGTGGGAAGGTCAAAGATCAGTCAGAATGCACAATGAAATAAGTAAATAAATAAGTAAAATAAAAGCCCATCATGGGGACCAGCAGTGGATTAGTGGACTCCTGCATAGTCTACTGTGATTACAGTCCCGGACATGGAGGCTCGAAAATCACACTAGGCATGTGTGCCTGTGCCCAAAATCCTGAGAGGAGATTGGAGGAGAAGGGATTGCAGAATGGGCATTCCCCCTGGGGCGTGATTGAGAGAGCATAGGTGCCCTATGCAAAAAAATCTCTACTAAAAAATAAAAGCCCATCATGATTTTAAACTACTTAATGTCATGGAGAAGTGATCATGCCCAAACAGTAAGGAATAAAAGGAGTCCATAGATCATTAAAAACATAGGACAGTGGAGGCCCCTCTGTCTTCCTGAAAGCACCTGGACTTTGCATTTGTGTGCATGGGCAGCCCTCACCTTGTGATGATCACAGTGTGGTTCAGAGAAGGCTGCCTGACTTGACTCTGCATCTGCCAGCCCAGAGCTGAGCTCCTTCTCTTCCCTGCACTCTGCTCCTTTGGCCCTCTTAGTGGTTGCACCAATCTTTTTGTGTCATCTTGAGTCCTCTATCTCCACCCTCTGCCGGGGTCCAGCCTTGGTGGGGGTGGGTTGACTCGTTGGAGGCGAAGCTGGAAAGGGAGACTAAGGTCTCGGTGCCTTTTCATGCACGTCCTCAGCCGGACACTCCCAGAGATTGCTCTCTGAGGAGTGACAACTGCTAGGAATCATCATGCCTTTTTATTGAAAATGCGATACATGTAAGTAAATGGGAGAGGGCCTACGTGTACTAATTATCAGTTCATAAAGTTTTAACAATAGAAACCATTCAGGGTTTGATTAAGGGCAGGTCTATTAATCATCGATACAGTTCAACAATTGTTTGATTGATGAAAGCAGGTTCCTGGTAACTTCAAGCAGTGCAGTTTCAGGAAACAATTCCAGCAAGCAGAGTTAACTATCAACCGATGTTCAGCAGTGTTGTGGATACACTTGTGTAGCCTATGGCACCACTGTTATGTATTTTGTTAGAACATTAGTTACCATGGGACGAGAGTGTCCTGGGCCAGTTTCGGCCTAGTCCTATTGTATGTAAAGAGGAGTGGTCGGGGGACTTTTGGGAAATCTTACCACACAGATGTATGAGAGAACTATATAATTCTTTTATAGTAGTATATTGGGGAGTTGGGGGGGGGGTCACTTCCCAGCAAGGCCACCACAGTTCCGGAGCGAATAGCAAGCGGCCTTGCTGATGTGCTAATTGACCCAAGCATTGTTCCAAGGTCAGGGGGCGTACAGTAGTGGCCTTGCCAACATACTGAACCAACCAGAAGCAGTGCTCAAAGGTCAAAGGGCTCAGACAGGTCCTGGAGCCCCGCCAGGTCGGACTCCTCCAACCCTCTTACTGGTCCCCCACAGTCATGAAATCCTTCTGACACCTGATCGTCACTTCGGTGGGTCCCTTTTTCTCTCACCCTGAGGCCCAACCATAGAGCCCAGCTGACCTGCTATGGCTGTTTCTTCATGTCTTAAGGCAGCTGAGAGCATATGGTCACATGATCAAAGGCAAACTTACAGAATTTCACAACCCTATTGTACCTAAGATGTAGTGAGCCTGTTCATTTCGACCTTGGGCTAAAGGCTGGAGTAGCGCCTGCTCTGCAACCTGAGTGGACAGCTATGTATTGACTCACCCTAGAAACCAAGCCATTTTTTGGTAAACTTCAGATAGATTCCTACGGCTAATGTATAAATCAAGGTCCAGGTAACACTTCATTTTGAGCTGTTGGTCCAACTGCTGGTCCTCCTTGAATTCTTTTTGTAACTTTTTTTTAGAAATATTTTTGCTATAGGGAGTGGTGTGCACTCACCAGAGAGACAGCGAGATAGAAAGCAATAGATTACCTAGCTATGCTGCAATTCTTTCTCCTCCATTCTCCTCTAGGAGATTTTGGGCAACCACCCACACATGCCTGACCTAAGTTTCAAGCCAATTCGTCCCGCACTCAAACCATGGTCAACTACGTGTGAACCTACCGATGTAACCATTATGCCATCTCCTGGTCCCCCCAATGTGTTTTTCAAGCTGCTGAGTCCAGGATTTGAACTGTGCAATCAGCCATGTTGGATCCAGCTGATATAACAACTAAGCCATGGAGCCAGCCCCTTCCCTTAAATAATTTTAAAAAGCATATATTTTTGGCTAACTTTATCCTTACACTTAAAACCAATCTAAGGGAAAATAAGAATAGTTAGAAATCAATGAGTGACAGAGATTACTAAAGATTTAATATGGTGAGATGAATATTGATCAAGAGGATTGTGTAATTTATGTCAAACTTACCTATTACCCCATTTTATCCTTATAAAATCCCTACAAGGAAGATGGCTCTACTGACCCCATTATATTGTTGAAGAAACTGAGGCAGATGTAAATAAATGACTCACTTGTACCAGCATAACTGGTAATTCTGAGAGTATGTCCAACCTTTGAGCAGCTTTAAGTTTACAGCATTTGGAGACTTTTTTTCCCTCAAAAGAATACATATGTGGTTTTTTTTTTTTTGTTTGTTTGTTTGTTTGTTTTTTATTAGATTTTTTTGCCATAGGGTGCATGTGCTTGCTCTAGGGGATGCACATTGACCAGATACAGAGAGGAAAAGTGAGAAAGCTAGCTGCCAGGTCCAGTACTCAAACTGTGGTCAGCCGTGTGGTAGTGCAGTACCCCAACCACCACACCACCTGCTGGCCCCAGTCTCTAGTATCTTACTTGTTTCAACTTTCGCATTTAAGTCTATGATCCATGCTGAATTAATTTTTGTGAATGTTGAGATAGGGGCCAATGTTCATTAATCCATATGGTTATCTACTTAACCCAACCTTTATTGAAAAGACTATTCTTTTCCCCGTGTGGTAGTGCAGTACCCCAACCACCACACCACCTGCTGGCCCCAGTCTCTAGTATCTTACTTGTTTCAACTTTCGCATTTAAGTCTATGATCCATGCTGAATTAATTTTTGTGAATGTTGAGATAGGGGCCAATGTTCATTAATCCATATGGTTATCTACTTAACCCAACCTTTATTGAAAAGACTATTCTTTTCCCCAGTGAGTTGTGTTTGTGACTTTGTCATAAATCAGGTGACCATATGGGTGTGGATTTCTTTCTGGACTCGTCATTATATTCCGTGTGTCTGTCTATCATCATTAGACAGAGAGAAACAGAGAAGGAAAGTGACAGATCACCCACCCTCCTGGTGATAGCCATGCCCTAATCCATTCTCCTTTAATTTCGCCATGTATGCACATGTTCCTGGTGTGATTTTCAAGCTGTCAGATCTGGGACTTGTACCTCTTAGTTGGCCATGTGGGAAATCAGCACCTTAACCACTACTCCACCTGTTCACCCAAGAGTTTGTTTGTTTTTTTTTTTTGTTTAGGCGCAAAGTACTATCTATTTGCTTGCCAAGCATGCACCATGGGACTGCTTTCACCAAGAGGTGGTATCTTTTATTAATTTAGACAGAGGTACCCTCAGTGTAGCAGAGGACCTAATCATTCCATCTGGCCTATTGCACAGTTCAAGTCCCAAACCTGGTAGCTTGAAAAACGTGCCAAGTGCCTGTGCGTGCATGCCCCAAATCTTTCCAAGAGGAAAATGCAGGAAAAGAAATTGCAGAGTGGACACCCTCCCTGGGGGGTACTTTCTAGTTTTCTCTCTGTCTCTGTCTGTTTCCAGTGAAGGTACATTATAGGAAAAAAAAAAAGAAGAAGAAGAAAAAGGCCGCACTCAACTTCTTTGGAATTTCTTGGTTGAAGGGTATGTTTGTTCTTAGACTTTGTAAGACATTGCCACATTCACCTCCATTTAAAAAAGTTAATCTACGCTGTCATAAGGAATACATGGGAATCATTTCCAC